GGAAGAGCGCCAGGCAGAGGAGCAGCGTGGCTCGGGGTGGTGCAGGAAGGGTCGGGAGCCTGGTTGCAGAGGAGACAGGGGTGGCCCAGGCAGACGCTGGCACTGTCTGAGAGGACTCAGCCCGGGCTTCACGGGGCAGTGGTGTTCCAGCTGATCCTCGAAGCCTGGATGGGACTTCACAGGCGGAGGTGACTGCGGGAGACAACCGTGCGGGTGGACATGCCCCAGTGGCCAGTGTCTTGGATCTGTCTTCTTTGGAAGATGCTGCACCTTTCGGTTTAGGGAGAGCTCGAGCGATCATCGACACACACTGCGATCCCATTTCGGTGCCCTCTCCTCCCCTCCCCCATTTCCTCTGCTACACTCACCTGCACACCAGAAGCAGGAGGCAGGCAAGGCCTGCGAGTTTCCCCCCTTTATAATGCGACCGGTCTTGTCCTCGCTCTGACCCTTCCATTGCTTCGGAAGAACACCAGATCCATCTTGCTTCATGCGCAGGCTGCATCGCAAGACCTCATAGAATTTGAAACTTGGCATTTTTCACGACTAGTTTCCCCACAGGCTTAAATGTCAATTCAGGGGGATGCAGTCTCAGCACGTATCAGTCTACAGCTGTGATACCTTAGGGGCGTGGTATTAGCAGCATCCATCTCACGGCCACTTTGCCAGCTTTTGTCCCCTCCTCTCCCCTCCCCCCAGCATCCTGACCTAGCTTTATAAATACTGGGGGAACCTTAAAGCTGTAATAATACGAGCGGAAACGTATTGAGCACCTGCCTACGGCAAACCAAGCACTGACTCGGCTTTTTACACGTGTGAATGTATTCAGTGCTCGCAGCGAGCGCGTGAGGTGGGTACGACGGTCGTTCCCATTTTACAGATGGGGAGAAGGAGGCACAGAGAGGAAGGGACTTGCTCCAGGTCACCCAGCCAGGGTTCACACCGAAGGTTGGGCTCTTATTCACTGCCTCGTAGCTCCCCACCCCGCGACCAAGCTTTTCATTTGTGCATTTCTCATCCTCACTGGTAGCACGGTGGCTTGTGCCCGCTGCTAATTCGTAGCTCTTTCTCCCTGAAATCGTTGACTCTCAGGGCCATTTTGTAGCCATGGCACTGCCACTCAACCCTTGAGCGACATCGTTATAGGATATTTTTGAAAGGTGTTAAATTATAGACATAGTGACTGCTGAAATAGCAGGGCATTTCTCACCAAAAGCCACTTGGAAAAGTTGGGATGCATTTAAACAGCCACATGGTCCCTTCCAGACTGAAGATCCACAGGTCTCCTCTTGACTCAACCAGAGTGGCGCCCCCGTGTGGCAATATCCTGAATAAGCGTTCGCATCCTTCCCCTCAGCCCTAGCTTTGAAATTATGCGAATTCTTGACAGATTGTTCTAAATTGGAAACTATTCATTCATAGCATTTCACATTTTGTACAAAAAAGCATACGTTTCTGAGAGTTTCAGGCTACCGCACTATTTCAAATTTGCATTATTCCAAGTTGCGTAAACTGGGTTAAAGAACTGTTTTGTCATGGGCCTGTCCTCCAAGGAAGGGGTCCCCAATCGGTACCGGTCCGCAGCCTGTTGGAACTAGGCTGCAAAGCAAGAGGTGAGCAGCGGGCGAGCAAAGCTTCATCTGTCTTTGCAGCCGCTCCCCAGCGCTGGCATCACCGCCTCAGCTCCGCCTCAGATCATCAGGCGTTAGATTCTCATAGGAGCACCGGTCCCTGGTGCCAAAAAGACTGGGGACCACTGCTCTCAGGGACAGAGATGCCAGTCTCTGGGGGTTCTTCGACAACCGTTTGAGACCTCTTCTCTCCCATAGGATGGCCAGCCGGGGCAGTGACAAGGATGGGGACTCTGTCCACACAGTCAGTGATGTCCCGCTGACCCCGCGTACCAACTCCCCAGATCGGAGATGCTCGTCCTCAGACACGTCTAAGTCTACATACAGCCTGACCCGGAGGATTTCCAGTAAGCATCTCCGCAGCGACCGTCTGGGGTCCCTGCCCCAGCGATGCTGTGCGCCCAGCCTCTGTTCAGAGTCCATGAATTAAAATCCCATTAGCCAGGTCCCCAGGACAGAGGAGGAGCTGGCTCCCCCAGACAGTCAGCACCCTCAAGGAAAGATGTGAAGGACAGGGTCATCCCTAGGGAGAGCACAGTTCAGGCGACAGGGCGCAGTGAAGCAGAGTAGCCGATGCGAGAATCTGTGGCATGTTGCCCGCCCTGAAAGTGGCCGGGGTCCTGTCGCCTGCGTGGCTGTCCGTGTTCATTGTTATTTCTGGTGGCCGTTTAGGTCTGGAGGCCAGACGACCCAGCTCCCCGCTCATCGACATCAAACCCATCGAGTTTGGCGTCCTGGGCGCCAAAAAAGAGCCCATCCAGCCCTCGGTGCTCAGACGGACCTACACCCCCGACGACTATTTCCGCAAGTTCGAGCCCCGGCTGTACTCGCTGGACGGCGGCAGCGACGACGTGGACTTCCTGACGGACGAGGAGATCTCGTCCAAGTACCAGCTGGGCATGCTGCACTTCAGCACGCAGTACGACCTGCTGCACAACCACCTGACGGTGCGCGTGATCGAGGCCCGCGACCTGCCGCCCCCCATCGCCCAGGACGGCGCGCGCCAGGACCTGGCGCACTCCAACCCCTACGTCAAGGTCTGCCTCCTGCCGGACCAGAAGAACTCCAAGCAGACGGCGGTCAAGCGCAAGACGCAGAGGCCGGTGTTCGAGGAGCGCTACACCTTCGAGATCCCCTTCCTGGAGGCGCAGCGCCGGACCCTGCTGCTCACCGTGCTGGACTTCGACAAGTTCTCGCGCCACTGCGTCATCGGCAAGGTGGCCGTGCCGCTGTGCGAGGTCGACCTGGTCAAGGGCGGGCACTGGTGGAAGGCGCTGATCCCCAGCTCGCAGGTAGGGGGCGCTCGCGGGTCGCGGGGGCGGAGCGGGAGCGGGAAGCGGCTTTTTTGTTTTTTTTTTGTTGTTGTTGTTGTTTTTTAAATAAACGTTGGGATTTTATTATTTATTTTTTTTCCACATTTGTAAAAGCCTTATTTGGAAGTAGCTTTCGACTCGCGAGAAGTCGCAGCCGGAGCGTGCCCGCAACGCTGGGGAGCTGGCGCGGGCAGGTGAACGGCAGACCTGGCTGAGTTTTCGCGCGCGCGTGCGTGCGTGCGTGCGTGCGTGCGTGCGTGTGTGTGTGTGGCGTTCTGGGAAATTGTATCACACATAGAGATTCATGTAATCACCGCCACCTGGGGGCTCTTTGGTCGTTGATGCCAGGTTATTTAATAAGGAGGATGATTGTCCAGGGTAGGAAGCGATCAGTCATTTTGACTTTCAGAAATTGGTTTGGGAGAAATAAAATGACCGAAGAACAGGATGAGAGATGGATGTTCTTCAGGCAGAGTGTGAGCTCGGCTTCCGTGCCCCTTCCAGCCTAGGGACACGCAGGTGGCCCCTTGGGAAGGCAGCCAGGGACCAGGCCCCTCCCCTGGGCATTCTGGGGGCAGGAGGACAATTCGGCACCCGCCGTGGGTACGGGGCTGCGGGAGCCCGAGGGAAGAAAAGACCCAGCCCTTAGAGGTGGACTGGCCTGTCCCCGCTGGGGACAATGCTCCTGTGTGATGTAGGCGGGGCCCCTTTGCGTCAAACCCACCAAGATGCTTCTCAGAGCTGAGCTCTGCTGGCCGGGGATTTGGTGATCCAGCAGCACATTGGGGGTGCAGGTTGAGGACTGGAGGGGCCGTCCCACTGTGAGAGAGAGAGAGAGAGTGTGTGTGTGTGTCTACACTCGTCTTCAAAGACAGCAGATTTATCTGTCTCTTGGTTTGGATTCCCTGAGGAGACCCCGAGACGAGGGAAGCCACTCGTTAGGGAGGTGACGCTGGGAGGAAACACGAACAGGAAGTGAGACGGTCACAGAGAAGACTCCTCATTGGGCCGGTACCACTGTGGGTAACTGGAGCCGAAACCTGGGGAGCCAGCGACAGACGCACACCTAAGAGCCCAGCTGGGGTGTTTATACGCCGCTCCTATCAGCCATCGAATGAGGGGCGTCGGGGGGCGGGGGGGTCATTCTGTGGCATTTCTGGCCTGTTACGCTGCAGGTAAAAAGACCTTTGATAGCCGCAGACGCAGACGGTACATTTGCTGGCAGCTGGACACAGGCCCGTGAGTGCGGAAGTGCTCAGGGCCAGGAGATGGTGGGCCAGGTGTCGGCAGTGTCTGCCGTGACCCCAAGTCCTCCTTCCTGTCACGTGATCAGGGTATATTGCATACTTTCCACGCCTCCTCCTTAATATTCGATATCCCTGGGTTTTCAACTATCAAGAAACTTAAGAGTTTAAAGAGGGAGACCCACTCGACAAAATTCTATGTGGCCCAGCGCCATGCGTCACATCTGTGGAGGATCCTGGAGACATGGAGAATCTGGCAGCCCACACCTTGCTCCCTTTAGCTCTAAGCTGAAGGGCCTGGACACAGGTTACCATAGGAGGTGACCCCAGGAAGCAGGTGTGAGGGGTGAGGAAGAGGACACGGGAAGGAAGGGCCATCCATGGTCAAGGGTAGTTCTTAAAGTTGCCTTTCTGGCAGTGGGGTGGTCGTGGACTTTGCCCTTGCACACTGGCCAAGGGGCCGCCACAACCTAATGGAAGGGCTGGGACAGGAAAGACAAAGAGGCCAGGTGTGCTGCCACCTGCCTGAGCTGAGACCACACCAAGCAGGACTGTGGGAGCATCGGCAGCTGACACCAAGGGCAGCGTCCACTGCATCACCCTGTTTATGTGGCTACCACCCTGGGCATCCCACATCCCCTTCTCCTGCTGTATTTTTCCCTATGGCACTTATGATCATCCCATTGACTGTACATTTTAGGGTCTGTCTCCCCTGCTAGTATATAAACCCCATGAGGGCGAACGTTCTTTCTGTTTTGTTCATTTACTATCCCCCATCCCTAGAGCAGTGTCTGGCGTGGAGTAGTAATAGTTGTCGAAGGAATAAAAGGATGGAGGGAGGGAGGGAGGGGTGGATGGATGGAGGAAGGAAGGAAGGAAGGAAGGAAGGAAGGAAGGAAGGAAGGAAGGACGGACGGGGTTCCTCAAAGCGAATGTCTTTTTTTTCCTTTTCCCTCCTTCTCTCCTTCCTTTCTTCTTTCTTCTTGGACAAAGAGAGTCTCACGGAAACTTTTAGGGGAGAATGGGCTCCTGTCTCCCTCCCATCTCAAGCTGCTGGTGTCGATGCTTTGAGTGGGAAGGCCCGCAGCTGTGGTTGGGTCCCCTGGAAGCAGAGCTTGAGGTAGGGGTTGGGCATGGACTAGTTCCCCAGGGCTGCTGTGGGTAGCTTAAAACTCCAAAATGTGTTGTCTCACAGTCCGGAAGCTAGAAATTTAAGATTGAAGTGTCGGCAGGGCTGTGCTCCGTCTGAAATCTGTAGGGGGACCCTTCCTGCCTCTTCCTGGCTTCTGGGGGTGCCAGCAGTCCTTGGCGCTCCTTGGCTTGAAGCCGCATCACTTTGAGCTCTGCCTGTGGCATCACATGGCCACCTCTGTGTGTGCGTGTGTGCGTGTGTGTGTGTGTGTGTGTGTGTCACTTGCGTGTGTGCGTGTGTGCGTGTGTGTGTGTGTGTCACTTCTCCTTTTATAAAGACAACAGTCGTATTAGATTAGGGTCCCACTGTAGTCAGCATGACCTCATCTTCAATAATCACATCCACAAACGACCCTATTTCCAGATAGGGTCACCGTCATCTTTTTGGGGACACAATTCAGTCCACACAGGAAAAAATGCTGCAGGGTGGGGAGGAAGGCAGTCTGGGTAAAGGGTGACAGCCAGGTGCAGATGTCTCGCCAGGTAAGGCCTGGCCTCACCAGGTCTGGGTGGCGAGGGGACTCTGGACCGTGGCTGCGCTGACGTGCGGCTCTTCAGACCAGGGAACTGGCCATTGTACTCCGTCAGCGTGGGAGCCGGTCACTGGCCGTGAGTCGGACGGGGCGATCTGATTTGCAGCTGGGCGGTCGGGGGCCTCCCTAGCGCTCCCATCGCATGAACAGCGGTTGTGGAGGGGGACAGTTTTCCCTCGGGAGGTGTAGCAGTGCTGGGCCACGTTCTGGGTTTGGAGGGTGGGAGGTGCTACCGGGTCGAGGCCAGGGATGCTGCTGAACGTCCTGCATGCCCAGGACAGCCCCACGACGAGGAACGGTCAGTCCAAAAGTCAGTATCGCCGAGGGAGGGTTAGAAAGTCTGCTGCGGGAGAATGGGAGAATGGGAGGTGCGGGGACAGCAGCAGGCTCCGCCGTGACGGGCGGGATGACAGGGGCAGGTCCCTGAAGGGCGACGAGGGCTTTTCAGGGAAAGATGCTTGATGGAGGGCGCGAGGAGTGGACATCCAGACAGCTGCTGTGCTTTTCATTCCCTGTGTGGGAAAGGAGCTATTGGTTCTGAACAAAATTCCACATCAAGCAAAATAAGCCCGTCCTGGGGACAGAGAACAGGGTCCCCGTACGGTACCCGAGGCCGTGAGAATGGCTGTCCTCGCTGACCTTCTCCAGCGCAGCTGGTGGGCGAGTCGAGTCGGGGGAGGTGCAGTGAGCAGTGGGGTGCGGGCCAGGGCTGGGCAGGCTGTCACCCTCAGCCCGACTCCCTGGCACGCGGGGTCACGTTCTGATGCTCTGCCTTGGGGACCCCTGGCTGGGGGCCGGCACGCCGGCACCCTCTGGCACCCTCTGGCACCCTCCGGCACCCTCGGGCTTAGGCAGGAACGTCCCAGCCGGCTCGTTCCTTTGAATACTACGTCTTTGATCTTGGCATTCAGGAAATCAGCAGCTAATGCGGGTACGGCAGATTTTTTTGGTCTCGTCGATAAGGTTTGGCTAAACGGTAATGAAAATGAAGACATAGAAGTAGAAAGATGTGCAGGCGATCGACAGGGGTGTGAAGTTACGCTGTTCGCTCAGGTTAATTCTGCTCATCCGGCGGACTGCAGTGGGTTGGCGCTCGGCCATTTGGAGGTGAAATCCTTGTAGGCTCAACTCTTTTTAAAAAACTTATTAATAATTGCAAAATGCACATAAAATTTACCCCCTTACCAGTTTTAAGTGTACAGTTCAGTGGCGTTAAATACAGTCACGTCGTGGTGCGACCATCACCACCATCTCCAGAACGCTTCAGCCCAAACTGAGACTCTGTCCCCGTTAACACTAGCTCCCATTTCTCCTGTCCCTGCCCCTGGCAGCCATCACTCTACTTTGCGTCTCTATAAATTTGACTCCTGTGGGTACCTCTGTAGTGGAATCACACAGTATTTGTGTTTTGGTGACTGGCTTATTTCACGTAGCATAATGTCTTCCAGGTTCGTCCATGTGGGAGCATGCAACAGGATTTCCCTCCTTTTGAAGGCTGAGTAATATTCCATTGTGTGCACAGACCATGTTTTGTCTGTCTGTTCATTCACCCGTCGATGGACACTTGGGCGGCTCCCACCTTTTTGTGGTTCTGAATAATGATGCTGCTGTGAACATGGGCGGATAAGTATTTTTTCAGTCAACTCTGTTTTTGAGCCAGAAAAATATCCAGAATGAAGGCAGCTCGTTTTCTGTTGAGATTATGTGGCTTTGGGAAGGAAGTGGCGAGGGAGAGATTAGATGTCCTGGGGACATGTGGGCACCTCACAGCATTAGGAAGGACCAGAGTTCCTGTCCCAGCCCTTTGACCAGGTCGGTGGTGACTGGAGTCATGTCAGCTTAGAGGCCTTGGTTTGCTCACGTCAAGAGGAGACATCATACTACCTGACCCCCACTTGCAGTGCATTGTAGAGACAGAAAACCTTCTCTGGAGAACGTCGCTTCTGGAAGTGAAGGTCCCCAGAAATAGGGAAAATTATAAATATATTATACACAGTAAACATATGATAAA